TTAGGTGCCTGAATCCAAAATTGTGATCCACAAAATTTACTGCTGAACTGCTGTCCAGTACTATAGATATCTAAGCATGGAGGTGCCAGGTTGTTTTGTTCTTTTAAATAACAGAAGCTCTACATTCCCCTTATGTCCTGAGAGCTTCAGATGGGGAGAATACTTGACCCCATCTGGTAAGTCAGGCTCTGCCCAGCACTGCAAGGGGAGACATTCCCAGGCTTTCCTCCAGTAGCTCAACACTCAGCCAGGCTTTGGTAACCACCTTTGCCTGAGGGATCACCAGCCCACCCCCACATCTCCCAGGGGTGCCACTACACCATGGACTGTTCAACACTTCCTCTTTATGAGGCAGTTGTATTTTGCATTAAATCCTTTAAGGAGTATTAGGCAAGGGCAAGAATCACTATGATGATATTGCTTAGAAGTCAGGGCCAGAGCTTAAGGTGAGTGTAGAAGAAGGGTATGTGTCAATTTAGTCCCCGCCTAAATACTGTTTTCTGACATACTTAGGCTATCATTGGTGAGGTTTTCCTGCCCCTTGGATGACTGTCACTGATAAAAAGGTCATAACAACATAACAACCCTCACGAAAGTTTATTGTCTTCTAAAAGAAAGGATTTCCCAGTTGATTTTTTAAAGAATATGCCAAAAGTTGGGATGTGTTTGCCTCTGAGTGAATCTAGGCTTTTCTCCCTCTCCTTGGGATGAAGACAGGTAAGACTGCTCCTAGGGAAGTACCCCAGCTCAAACATCTTGCTTAGCAAATGGGGAGCAGATGCAATGCTAAATAAGCAAGCTGGTGGCTATTTGTTTTAAACGGAGTCAGGGCAACTTGACAGGGTTAGAACAGGTAAAAGGGTTTATTTTTCCAGTTTGAGCTGTGTCTTGGAAAAAAAAATAATGATAATTTAAAAGACAAGATGGGCTTTTTGTCTTTCTTTTGGTAGCTGTCCACCTTCGGCTCTCGTGAAAGAAATGTTGAGTAGCGCACAGAGACTGACCTTCTATGGATTCCTTATGGCACTTGCAAAGGATCAGAGAATCAACAGAGCCCTAGGTAAGACCCCTGTGAGTGGTACAGCTTTAGATTTTCAGTCATTCTGCATTTCTCTGAAATTTCCTCTGTAATCATGCCCCAGATTTTACACTGTCAGGAAGAGAACGAGGGAAAGTTTTTCATCTTTTTGTTGATGGATTAAACTTTAAAAACATAACACTGTACCTTACTGTCTGCTTGAAGCTGTGGAGTTTCAAGAATAAAATCAGATATGAAATGCTGCCCTAAGATAGCAATGTTTTACCTCTTCAATAGCTGATCATTTTAGTAGAACTGTCGTTTTAATATGTTTGGCTATAACGGTTGGGCAGAGGTGGTCAGGAGACAAGTAAGGTGGCTGACTGCTGTCGACAGTACTGAATTGAAGTCCCACCCTATGTTTTAGCCCTTCATTCTCCCACAGATTTTAAGTGACTGCTCTTGTCTACAAGAAAAGGAGGCACACCTGATCGGAAAACCTCTGCTGCCTCCTTGGCTCAAAGACTCAAAGCCCCGTCTTAGCTCTTCCCCATCTTCGCTCAAGGCAGTGTGATCACACTAGTACATTAATCTATGGCCTGCTGAAAATCTGGCGGTATCATAAAACACAAACTGCTACAAAATTCTGTACCAGACTGCTGTGGGAACCAGAGGGATTACCAACGAGCATCTCACTGCTCGTTTCCATATTGTGCTGCTCAATGTTGTTGTAGAGCAAGGAAGCACAGTGTTGCATTGGCAAAGGACAGTATGTAATCCATACATAATTCAGACTCACAATTCCATATTGCCCCCATATGCCTTGCTTGTGCTCTTTCTCCTCTTGCAAAGGAGAACAGAAATGGCTTTTTGTGTTTAACAAGGCTGTATCCAGGAGGTACATTTAAATGCGTGGAGGCCCAAACACTCACCTTTACTCATCTCCGCTCAGCAAATCACCTGGCCAGTAAGGGTAGGCTTTCTCTGTCTTTGAGTAGGTATCCTCCCCCTCTACTTCTAGGCTTGAGTATCTGCCAGTCCCTATATTACAAAGACAAACCTCAGTGAGAAGGTGTACCTTGCCTGAGGGCTTGTTCTTTTGCACAGGTGTGTGTCATAGTAGAGTAAAAGTGTCCCTTCCCTGGCTGAGCCCCTTCTAACAGCAAAGCATTTAAGCTGCTAATGCTCTTCTGGGGCAGGGCTGCTTACCCAGCAACATGGAGATTATATATCAAAGGTGCATGAATACAGCCCTGCAATCCCCTCTGCAAACAGGCTTAAGAAGCATTGTATTCACTGGGGAAGGTGATGCCTGAATTGCAGCAGGCAAAATCTTTTTTTCCTTTGCCCTAAGAAATCCACTTCTAGTCAAGTGCAAAGAGAACAGATGAGCAGGGGGAAAAAAAAAAATCCTGCCCACAGCTTCCATTGTGCCATCTACAAAGTATGTGGGTTTTCGTTTCCATTAATGTGGGCCCGTCCCCTGGCCCCTTGCCAGCCTCCTGCCGAGGCGTCTCTCAGAGGAGGGGCAGCAGCCACAAGCCTGACAGGTGCTAGCATCTTGGCAAGGGAAGGAGGATTCTTTTCCCGGTGTCTTTTAATCTCTCCTGAAGGGTGATTTCAATAGTCTTTGGTCTGTAGGGGATCACAAGCTCCCCAAAGCCCTTCAGCAAGGGCAGTTTCAGGCAAAGGAGCTTTCGGTCAGGGTGCCTGCCTTCTCTCTGGTCTCACAAAGCCAGTAGCCCCCCTTGAGGAACAGGAGTAGGGATTAAAGCAGCTCATTCAGGCTGGGGCAGCACTGATGAGTTTGTCAGGCAGACTGGACTCTGCAGCCTAACTCCAGTGGCAGTGTTGATTCCTGAATCTTTTAAGTGTTATTTACTGATTCTCCCAAGTAATTCTTGTGCCCTAGAGACCTCACTGTGCATTCTGCAAGTGCAGAAACAAGTTAAGCTTCAGCTGCTTATTCTTTTAATTGAGCTCATGAAAGGGAGCAGGCTGGGGCACTTCACTGGACCTCCTGACACTCTGTGTTGCAGTGCCAGGCTTTCCTGTTCATTTGCAGGAGGAGAAGACAAGAACTGGAAGAAGTGGGGGAGTCAGTTCTGGCCTAAACTGGTTCTAATTTTTAGGCACTCATTGCTATGCTTTTGGTAACTGCTGCCAGCTTGCCTGTGTGAGGCAGGTGGCTCTCTGGCTCTCCAGCTCTCCAGCAAGGTGCCAGGGCCAAAAACCAGATTTGTGTCCCCACAGGGAGCACCAAGCCCCTTCCCAAAGGTACTGAATGTAGCGCCCAGGTCTCCTGAAAACCAAGAGCAATCCTCACTGCAGTGTTGGTACAGATTGCCAAGGTTTTTGGTTTGGTTTGGGTTTTTTTTGTCCTGGTGTACAGTGGCACTATCCAAGCTGTGGTAGGCAATGCCTGTCATCTCTGTGCTGGCTGATCAAACCCTTCCATGACCCCTGTACAAGGTGGAGTTTGTTACAGAATGAGGAAAGAGGGCTTTCCTAAGAGCCCTGTCTTCTATTCTGGGCTCTTCCTGAGGTGCCAGTGTCCTTTCAGAGAAGGGCAAGGATGATCAGCCAGCTGTTCCAGTCCTGAGCTACACCATGTCCTTCATCCTGAATAGGGTTTCAAACATGAAAAGGAGCATGCTGACCTTATGCTGAGAGAGGGTACCTGATTACTGGCCCAGCCTTTCACGCTGTCACCCAGAGAGCAAGCGACGCTAGAGCACAGTCCATCCACGCTCACTCCTGTAGACTTAATGTGCACCAGAGTCAGGCCTGACTTTCCTGAATTGCAAGGAAAACGACAGTCTTACATCCGTGGAGTGTTTTGATCCCCAAGCTCAGTGCATCACGAAAAAGGCAGGTGGCACAGAAGTATACATCTCCCTGGGTGGTATAGCACACACTTCAGGCTGCGGCACGGACTACAACATATCTATTGCTCTGCTAGGATCTGCCACTGGTGACTATACAGGGCAATTAGCAGAGGCCCAAAGTTGACACACTGTCATCTCCCTGACAGTCAGTGCTCAGTAGTTTTGTATAGTGAATGGAAACTGCCAATCCTTCGGGCTCTTCAAGTTGTCTGAGAGGTGAGACTACTGAGAGTGCCTCTCATTTGGTCTGAGCTCAGCTACAGCCTGTGTGAAGGACACAGAATATGGGTCATCATTCTTTATCTGTCCCTGATCCTCAACATTCAGTGTCCATTTCTCTAATAGGTATAAGGAAGAGTGTTCTCTGTCTTGCACGGCAGATTTTGGATGGTGCTATGGCTTGAGTGCTTTTCTTTAAGAATGAATAGCCTAACTCTGCTCTGGTACTTTCCTTTGTTGTTTTGTTGTTTTTTTTTTTTTTTTCAGGGGCTTTGCCAGATAAAGGAGACTTGTTTCTGGACCCTGCCATGGATCAGGAACTTGAGAAATTGTAAGTGGAGTTGCCTTAAGTATGAGGTAAAGCAACAGATTAAAGGTAGCATGCTAAGGAAGACTTTAGTAAAATACTGTCCCTATTCCTTCGCTCTACTATAAAACAACAGAGGAGCTAACAGAGTAGCCTGAGCAGAGAGGACCTCTTTCTTTGGGGTACCTTGGTACAGCTAGCAAAATCCTTAGAAAAGGCTTCAGAAACAGAGGGGAAGAGTGTGCCTCGAAGAGGGATCTAGAGGAAGCAGCAGTCTCTAATGCACAGGGAAATTTTGTGTGGATGGTGAAAACTAGGGGGTGTTGGAGGACACAGGCTGAGCCCAGAAGAAAGATCTGTTTAAACAGGAAGAAAGATTTCACACAGCAAGTCTGGTAGGTACTAGTGCAAGGTGTTCCCCCTCTGTGCCATGAACATCTTTCCATCCCTGTGCTAGTTGTGAATAAGTCCTCCACCCAGGTTCACTCCAAAACTGCTACAGTAAAAATTGGAGATGACAAGTTAGGCTGCCTGGCGTTTATCTTTTCTCTTTCAGGGTAGCTCAGGTTTCAGGGCTTTCTGTCTCCGGTCCCACCAGCTCCAGCGGGGACACAGCTAATTTGCCTGTCCGTAACTCACCCAGGATTAACTGTCCCTGGAAACCTCTACACCATCGACGAAAAATGGATGCTGAGAGTGAAGGCTCCAATGAAGAGACGGACTCCTCTGAAAACTGAAGGTTGTGAGGGTGGGCACCATTCCCATCTTGGGTTTCTCCAGAACCCACTGAAGGAACAGCACCTCCTCCCAGAGCATCTGCTCTGATGATGGGTTCTGTCCACATCACCAGTGTGTGTGGGGCTGTGCCAGTCCCCATTGCCAAGCCCACCCAGCTCTTCCCAGGAAGAGCTCTGCTTTCTTCCTAGCTCCAAATTTGTGCAGGAATAGCCCCTCTGCAGAAGCGATTTCCAGCTGCGGAGTTATGTTACCCTCTGCTGGCAGGCAGGACAAACCAGCAGACATTAGCTCTGCCTCCACTTGGAAATAGCCAGGTATTCTCTCACCGGGGCTGTCCCTCACGGTTCAGCCGGAGCTG